AACGTGGCCATCAGTGGAACATTGTAATCTCGGCTTCCGAGTAACTATAAGAATACATGCGATTTTCTGCTTGCTTTTGACCAAAATACCTATTGAAATGTCGCCTACTGAAAGAGCACTTTCGGGTGGTCAGCCGCCAATGCACTGCATCGAAAATGTCAACGTGCGGTGGACGCACTGCGTGAGCAAATGACGTGTAGCACAGCGCTGCTTAATGCAAGCACTCTTTCGTCATGTCCTTTGTTCATCACTTCCAACTTCAGTTATACTGGTTGTTGATATGCGAGGAGTGGATTCGCGACCAAATATGCGGATGGAATGTCCGTCCTGCTTCAAATGCTTCGAATTGTGTGTGGCTCTGCCTCCAACCCTACCGCACAGTGTAAAAGCGATGGAGTTGGGTTAGTGCGGAGAGTTGAAGACAATCAGCATTTCTGAGTTGTGCTACTAGGTTATAGCAAGTACCATGCTAAGTAGAGGCAAAATTAGTCAAAGTAATTTAAAGCAGCAAATGACCAATAAATGGCCATATTTGTCGATAAGCGAGATTAGAGACCTACCTCCACGTGACCGTTTCTCCGCCGTTGCACATCTTCATCTCCATAGTTGGTGTTGCCACGGATTGTCCTCCGGCTGGACGCGAGTCGCACCGCTTGGACATTATCCCACGTTTCGAACATTCGTGGCATGTGTGGGATGTGGCGTTGCAGCGGTGGTGGGAAGAGCAGTTGCCTGTAAGCGGTCGGTGTGGATGTCTCATCACTCGATTCACAGTCTACAACTCAACAGTGCGTAATGATGTGCTATGCAGGGTTTCGCCTGAATGCAAGGCAGCTGCCGCAGTTGTACGCAATGTCTCCACAATAGGAAACCCGAGGCGTGGCGTTGAAAATCGTGCCTGCACAGCCTCCTTGGCATTTTGTGATTTGATCCACAATGCGCCTTCAACTATAGGGCTATGCGGCGCAGAATAAATTGAGATTGTGGTAGCTAGAGAGCCACAAATGAGGAGAATACCTGACTAGTAAATATTTATTCTTATAACAAATGAGGAGAATACCTGACTAGTAAATATTTATTCTTATATCCGCAGCTCGCATGAGTCGTGATATTGAGTGCGGACTTCCTTGTTTGGTTTTAAGCGGTCAAGGTTATCTGGATCGGCGTGCTTTCAACTCAATGTGGAATGCGTGTGTGG